GATGTCTGAATGTAAAGAAAGAAAAAAAAAAAAAGAGCCATTTTGTGAGGCGGCTAATGAGAACGAGGCTGGAGCGTCTTCTGTCAGCCGGATTCAGGATCATCTTTAGCACGAGAAGCATCATCTCCACCTTTTTTTTGTTGTTGATGTTTTTCGTTTATGAGGCCACAAGAATCACAAGACATGAATAATGCAGTTTGCTGGTTTGATGCACATTTCCAGAGCGCCTCGTAAAACCTAACAGCTTCTTAACAGCAGCATTAACAGGCTGAAATTTATGGGGCAGCGGCATCTACACGGAGGAATTAATTAACATCTCCGTAAAAAGAAGTTGTCTGGATGGAGGGTGGAGGGAGGGGAAATAAAACAGGAATGTTTGCATTTAAAATTCAGATTTCAGCTCGAAAATTTAGCAGAAATGACGAGAGAGCAGCCGGGAGTTGTGATGAAATGCATCCATTTTTTGAAGCTGCAACTGGAAAAATTGCATCGTGCAATCGTGCAAAGACGAAGCTCTGATTTACGGCGTTTTAATCGCGCCTAATTGATGCCCGATCTTTGCAGCTAGAAGCAGAATGGACGGGAGCAGCGCGTGAAGGAGGGAGATCTTACCTCTGTCGCCTGCTTGGGGAGCTTTTCTCTCAGCTCTCTCTCTCTCCTCCCGTCTCTCGTCTCGTCCGTCCGCCGTGAAGTGTTGGCCGCTCAGAGGGGTTTACTGCCAGCCATCAGCGCCGGATGAAAAAACATCATCCTGAAAAAATGGCTTGGAGACATGTCAGAGGAGGGGGTGGAAAAAAAATCAAAAAATTTAAAAAGAGAAAAATCCCACAAAAAAGAAGAAGAAGAAGAAGAAGAGGGGGGTTTAAATCAGCAGCGATTATTGAAATATTAAAGAGGCGATAATTGTGAGGTTGTCAGTGGAGAGGTGCTTGTGTTGATGGATGGGAGGGAAGCTCTGAGCGAGCGAGCGAGCGAGAGAGAGAGAGAGAGTGGGAGAGAGAGAGAGAGAGAGAGAGAGAGCGAGGGGGAGAGAGAGAGGGATTAAGATTGAGGAGACTCCCCTCAGGGACTCTTTATCGTTGCATTATAGCGACTTCACAAACGCTGCACTGACACGATGCTGCCCAAAGATAATTAATCTGTTAGCGCGGATTAGCGAAGGTCGAAGCCCCTCGCTCGCCCCCTAACGCCGACCCCCACCGCTCCGCATCCAGGATTAAAAACCCCACAACAAGAGATGCTTTTTGCTGCTTTTTTGTTTTTTTTGGGGGGGGGTAAGAGAATCCACTCACATGCCGCCGAGTCTAGCGAGTGAGAGGAGGAGTGATGCTGCCGTGAGCCGGAGCCGGACGGACGGATGGAGGGGAGACAATGAGATAAGATGGAGATGCTCTGAGGCTGCTGGAGAGTCGAAAGAGTGAAAAGAGCGCTTGTGTGCCGACGGAGGAGGGGGGGTTGGCGAGCGGGGAGGGGGCGGCGTTGGCTTTTCTGTGTCACCGAGAGGAAAAAAAAAAAAAAGAGCGAGTGGGGGAAGGGAGGCCGAGATAATGCGAGCAAACAGCACTGACTCATATAGACTATGTATAGTGAGCAGAGTATCTGGGAGGAAGGAGAAGGAAAATCACATCACGGATAATAAAACATCAGCACTCACAGCACTCAGAACAACCAAGTCGACGTTTAATGCACAGCCCGGGTCGGATCGACGGCGGCACAGAACACAAAAGTGTAAAAACAACATTCAGACTGTGTGAATCCTTCGTTCCTTCCATCTTTGGTTGGAGCAAAACAGCAAAAAGTTCAGAAAAGTTGGTCCCAGTCCACATGTTTGGATCAAATATGCAGCAGAGCAGCCAGTTTAAAAACAAAACGCTGATTAAAACCAACAATTATCACGCAAACATCACAAATTAAGGCCCGAAGTCAAAGAATCTGCAGTCGAGCTGCAGCCAGTTGTTCATAAGTTCAGTGTTTTTGATGTTCGATTAATCAGGCCGAGTGTTTTTCTGATAAAAACAATCTGAATTATGTGACTAAAGCTTCTTTAATGTGAATATTTTTTGGTTTCTTTCCTCCTCTGTGACACTAAACTGAACATCGTTGTGTTCTGTCCTGAGAACATACATCACGTTGTTGTTATCAGAGCTGCAGCGATTAATGGATTCAGCAATTAGTGTCAATTTAGAAATTATTTTTTAAAGAAAATGGTCAAAATTCTTTGATTAAAGCTCCTTAAATGCGAGTATTTCCTGGTTTCTTTCCTCCTCTATGGAGGTAAACTGAAGATCTTTGGACAAAATGAGACATTTCTGGGGAACAATGATTTTCACCGGTTTAGAGACCAAACAGCTGATCGATTGATCCAGAAAATAACTGAGAGACGAATCGACAATGAAATCATCTTTACAAGTCGTCCAAATACTTTAGACGGTCATCTGGCTTCTTATTTTCTGGCTGGAGTCATCAATTTATGTTCTCAGATCATTTTCCTCAACAGGACACGACACTCGACTTTTCTTTTTCTGACATTTCAATCAATCGTATCAAGACATCAACGTAACGATCAGCTGCAGGCGAAATGAGCTGATCAGTGAAAACCGTGAAGAACAGTCACCTGCTGCAGACTAAAGGTGCGATTAACGATTATTTTCTCACGCATTCGATCAGCTGTTTGGTTTCACAAAACGGTAAAAGTCTCAGACAACCATTAATTCTACTGTCGGTCAGTCTGTGGATGGTTTTCAGGATTAATCAATTAGTTGTTGTGATGAAAAACGTGGATCAACGGTTTCCTCAAATGTCTTGTTTTGTCCAAAGATCTTCAGCTTGCTGTCATAGTCGAGGAAAGAAACCAGAAAATATCCACTTTAAGAAGCTGGAATCAAAGATTTTTAAGACTTTTAAGCTTCAAAGAACCCTCAAAAACCGGATTAGTTGGTGACTAATTTAATAAATGACAATAAATCGATTGATCTTTGCAGCTCTGTTGATTCATTCAGTCGCTGCAGCTACAGATGGTCGTACCAGAGCTGCTGGAGGCGACCAAACCGGAGCTAAAAGTCACTCAGAAACTCCTCTGGATTCAAACTGGGAGTTTTTCTGATAGAGTTTGGTTTGATAAAGGTTCATTCTTAAACTGTTGATTATTTTCTGGCTGAATCGGTCAGATGTTTGGTTTCTAAAATGTCAGAAAATGGTGAAAAATGTGAATCAGAGTCTCCTAAAATGTCGCATTTTGTCCAAAGATCTGCAGTTTTCTGCCATAGAGGAGGAAAAAAATGTAAAAACACGAGAACCGATGTGACAGAAATTCATCCAGATTCTAAAATCAGCTGGAGGCGACCAAATCAGAGCCAAAAATCAGGATTCATTCATAANAGACTTTTAAGCTTCAAAGAACCCTCAAAAATCGGATTAGTTGGTGATTAATTTAATAAATGACAATAAATCGATTGATCTTTGCAGCTCTGTTGATTCATTCAGTCGCTGCAGCTACAAATGGTCGTACCAGAGCAGCTGGAGGCGACCAAACCGGAGCTAAAAGTCATTCAGAAGCTCCTCTGGATTTAAACTGGGAGTTTTTCTGATAGAGTTTGGTTTGATAGAGGTTCATTCTTAAACTGTTGATTATTTTCTGGCTGAATCGGTCAGATGTTTGGTCTCTAAAATGTCAGAAAATGGTGAAAAATGTGAATCAGAGTCTCCTAAAATGTCGTATTTTGTCCAAAGATCTTCAGTTTTCTGCCATAGAGGAGGAAAAAAATTAAAAAACACGAGAACCGATGTGACAGAAATTCATCCAGATTCTAAAATCAGCTGGAGGCGACCAAATCAGAGCCAAAAATCAGGATTCATTCATAAACATCCCACGTCTGGATTAAAATTGGAACTTTCTTTGAATGGAGTTTGGTTTGATGAAGGTTCGCTTTTAAACTGTAACTAATAAACTGTTTGTTTTTACTATTGATTATTTTCTGGCTGAATCGATCAGCTGTTTGGTTTCTAAAATATCAGAAAATTGTGAAAATGTGGACCAGCTTCTTCCTGTTTTATCCAAAGATTGTCACTTCACCGTCATAAAGGAGGAAAGAAACCAGAAAACATTCATATTTAAAACGCTGCGATGAGCCCAAAATGTAAGAACTCATCTATGAATCACTGCAGCAGAATCCTTTTTATATTTTTCCGTAAAACCCAGCGTTGCTTTAGTTTTAATACCAGTTCCCCTTATCGTAACGTCGGTCCTTCACTCATTAAAATGTATTCATGTAGTAATAAAGTGAATGTAAATCAATACATCGACCTTCATTTCACACCTTTGACCGCTTATTTAGTAATAATACTACTACTACTAATAATAATAATCGTAGTGCAATCTACCTGGAACAAAAGCGCAAAAACTTAGAAAAATTACAATCTTGGAAACAGCTTTGGTAGAGAAAGACACGTAATGAAGTAACAAATAGGCCTCATCATGTCAGAACAAACTGAGATATGTGCTGAAAAAAATGCAGGAATTTTCAGAAAAAACTACATGAAGGAAGAAAAATTATTTTAACAATGACTGGGGAGATTTTCTTGGTGAGTTCATCTGTTTTAAGATAAAAAATAACCGTAAAAAAGTTTGTAAATTGGCAGTTTGGAGCTTTTCTCATGTGGTGTAACTGTAGAAAACCCATCTGAGATGCGTCTTTGGCACTCGTTAAATATTTAAGACCTAAACGTTTGTGTTGCACCATGTGGTGATGACAACGAAACCAGCTTTCTGCGGCTGATTGCAGCCAAATCTTTCTTGTAAGAGCTTCTTTCCTCCGAACTGCACAGAGTTGCACAATGTGGGAGAAAACCGACATTATCCTGTAAAAATCTATTTAAAAAAAAAAAACACGGGAATTTCCTGCAGATGACTGGAATAACTGTGAAGTATTTTTTTAAAAGCAGAGAAACTTGCTGATGAGGAACCTGTTTAAGGTCGACGTAGTTTTTTTCTGCAGCTGAACTATTTCCACGGATTTATTTTTGCATCTCTTGTGAAGCTGCAGGTCGACAAACTCTTAAATAAAGTTGAGAAAAATCCCATAAAATCTAAATAAATGAGACGTCTTGTGTGGATCAGTCGTGGAAAATAAGAAACGTTTTCTTTTTGCGTCAAAAAAGCCTGACGCTGATGCAGAGAAACTCTAAAAACGTTTACAAAAGCGTCTCTTGCATTAAAATCCTTGTTTCTCTAAAACTTGTCGAATATTTTTCAATCATCCCTAAAACCAGAGTAACGGACGTCTTGTTGTGTAAAACCAGAACCGTGAGAGTTTTCTTTTTGGATCAAGCAGCAAAACAAGTTGTACATTCGTTCCAAACGTGGCCGCCCTCGTCCTAACAGCAGTAACCTCGGCAGCGTTGAGCAGCCGTCATCATCTCAGGGTGACGGTGCACAGCGTCTCATAAAACCCGTCCACTTTGTCTCGGCCCATCGCACACAGGTGCAAGGTGTTGACTGGCAGACGGCCAAAGTTCAGACCCTTCCCCGCCTTCAGGTCGGCGACGCCCTCGAACAGGCGGCCGGCCTCGGGGTCGTCCACCTTGGCCAGGGTGAGGTGGTAGCGGGGGCTGTAGGAGTCGCGGTGCAGCAGGCCCTCGGCCCGGAAGGCCTCCTGCAGGCCGCCGTTGAGCTGCTGCAGGTGCAGCTGTGGCTGGGGGCTCAGGTACAGCACCCTGCCGCTGAAGTGCTTCAGCTTCAGGGGGAACGTCACGGCCACCGGCGGGTTCCGGTCCAGCTGGGCGAAGCGCCGCAGGATGTCCCCGGCGGCGGCCACCTCGTCCGGGCTGCGCAGCACCAGCAGGCAGAGGGTGACGTGGAGGCTGGAGGCGCCGACCCAGTGGGGCGCCGAGCCGGGCAGCAGGGCGCTCAGCTCCTCCTGCAGCTGCTGGAAGCAGGACAGGATGGACGGCGTGTTGGCACGGAACGTGACAAAGTGAGTCGGGCGCTTCTTCGGAGGACGGCCACCTCGCTTCTCCTCTCGCTGCTCCACAGGGGCTGAAGGATTCTGGGTAACGGAGGTCTGCGTGGAGGAAGAACAGCAAGAGAACAGAGCTGACCGGTAAATAGTAAGAAACGGCATCTAAGAAGTTCCATCCATCCATCATCTCT